ATATAAATACACCCGCACACGTCATTTTTTGGGGAGACAGAAAAAGAAGAAATTGCTCTTGTTTTGCCAACGTTAGGGGTACGGACTTAGTAGGTTAGAAATGGATCGCTTTGTGCTAAAACGTGAAATTTAACAGGGAAAAATTATGGCGTGATAACGTGAAACCGCTCAAGTTATGACGTCGAAGTCCTTGTGTCAACACAAGAACATCAAGTTTACACCGGACCTTTGGAAAAACTCACAAATTTTCCCGAAATTACCGGTTGCTACCCCTCCTCGAGGTGACGTTTATCAGGTTTTAAATTATCGAACTTTTTTTTCTAACCTGGCTTTCGTACGCTTCCCTATGTTTTTTTTTTTTTTTTTTCTGACCTGGCTTTCGTACGCTTCCCTATGTTTTTTTTTTCCTCGTACAATCGATGACGTCATTTCTTTTTGGGAACTCAAACAGTCATTTGCTGTCCGCTAGGGTTCGCCCTTGCGCTCTTCTTTTCTTTCTTTCGATCTCTGTCACTCACGCGCACGCGCGGTCCGTGTGCTACCGCAAAGCCTCCTCGCAATCTTTGCTCTTTCAAACACATTCCGTGCGTGTGCGCGTTGAGTCGAGCACCGTCCGCGGTTAATATGAGTGGCGGCGGTCCGGTGGGCGCCATCGCTACCAGGTGAACAAAACAAAGCGGTTGGAGCGACCGACCGACCAGCAGGAGGCTGGAAATGGTCGCCGGGCACCGCCGGTGAACGCTCGCCGCCGTCGCGTTGATGCGGCACGGAGAAGGCGACACGCCGAGCGAGTAGAGAGGTGAGCGGGACGGGATGTTCGGAGGCGGTGCGGTTGTGTTGCCTTGACGACTCGGCCGACACTGCGGCACTCGGTGAGGACAAAGCCGGGGGCTGACGCCAGCGAGCTAATCCGCGACCATTTCAAAACGACGGCGCCTCGACTACGGGAGCCCGGCCGGCGTCGAGCGCCGTGCTTGACCTACTTGTGTGTGCGTGTGTTTGGATGGATGGATGATGGATGGATGGATGTGGAGCGTCTGTGTGGTTCAACTGACATTTTCGTGGTCCTTGTCCGTTATGGCGTCGAGTTGGCCACAAGCGTTGGGGAACGCTTCGTTTTAGTCTTCCATTGTCACCGTTCGAGTCTAAACAATGTGTCTGCGTGCATACACAATCAGCCCTTTTGTTAAAGTGCCCCCCCCCTGTCGCCTGCGAATACCCCCCCCCTCCCCAAAAAAAGAGCTGTTTACTTGGAAGGGAATCGATGGGAAAGTCAAGTGGTGTTAGCCCGTGGAAATAATGAACGCGAAAAGAGCACACGGAGGTGACTTGTGGGCAAAAATGATTTTTTTTTGTGTGTGTGTGTGTGTGTGTGTTCATCCACGTGCATTCAATTGCAGGGACGCTCACCTGGCGAAGCAAGCAGAAAGCTTGTGGGCAAAAATGATTTTTTTAGTGTGTGTGTGTGTGTGTGTGTGTGTGTGTGTGTGTGTGTGTGTGTGTGTTTGTTTTGGGAGAAAATGGAAACGTGTGTTTTCCCTTTTCTTTGAAGAAACAGCAAGATTTTGATAGATAAATGAATACCAGTATTAGTTCCTCACACGGAAGACATTTCACCAAATGAAAATGTGATGTTTTCTTTTGAATTCATCTTTAAGTGTGTCTTCCCTTTGTGATTTGTTCCTTAACTAATTCTTAAAAAACATTGAATGTTTGCTTTTTAACAGACAATTTAATCATTGATCTTGAGCACACTTATTTTCATTTCATATTTCAAGGAACTGCAAGATGCATTTTCCTTTTAAGAAACATGCACAAGTATTTTGTTCAAAAGAGAAAATGAACTAGCATTTATGATAGCCCCAATTTTTTTTCTTTTGAAGCAAGTGCTTTTTTGTAATTTTAAGAAACAAGCGGTTTTCAAGAAAATCGAAATGTTTTTGAGAAAGGATACAATTTTCTTCCTCATTGATAAAGACTAGTTTTAATAACAAGAAAATCACATTTTGTCATCCTTAAGTTTTTTTTTTCTTTTCAAGAAACTATTTCTCCTTTGACTGAAAATGGCATGGCAGTGCCAAAGCCTGAGGTAATGACCAATCACGACTCAAGCCCACACAACAGGTGAGCTGTGATTGGTCATTACCTGACCAACGGTGAGGTCATTTTCCGGCGACAGCACTTTGCAAAATGGCCGCCCCCTGAGATGGATCACGGTTGCATTTTACTGCCTTAGTAATTTTCCTCAAACGCGATATTTATCAGAATGCTGTGTGGTGACTCGTGGAGGCGCATCAAACTCATTATTGTCAAGAAAACTTTTGACTTGACTTCTCTTGGAGAGCAAAAGCAATGTTTCGTTTTCTTGTTAACCAAATAAATCATACCCAAACTGTTTTTGTCTAATTGTGAAAAAAATGCATATCAGAGGGATAACGGTTTGCCCGATCAAGTGTGCACCCAAACTGTTTTTGTCTAATTGTGAAAAAAAAATGTATATCAGAGGGATAACGGTTTGCCCGATCAAGTGTGAGGGATTTATTTTTCATATAATTTTTTTGAAACAAAATCTTTTCACACCCCCCCCCAAACCCCCCCTGCAGTGTCCGCGCAAGTAATCGTGTTTTAGCGAGGGGGACGCCAGCCATCCCGTCTTGAAGATGGCGGCCGTGGTCAACTACTCGCCACCGTGGTGGGTGAACCTGCTCCACCGCTTGCCTCATTTCAACTTGGACTTCCAGTTGGTCAGCAGCGACTTTCGGCCTGAAGACCCCGAGTATCAAAAGGTAATTGCGCACCGCGCCTAGCTTCATCGCCGCCGCGTTGTTGACACAAATAAGGCTTGGCTCAAACGAGCAAGCCCAAAAAAGGAAGTCGCAAAGTGTCGAGCAGCCAGCAGCGTCTCTGGAATTATTTGAAGAATTTTTTTCTCTCTTTTTAATCAAATCGATATCTGTTTTTTTTTAAAGATACGCAGATGTGATTTGTTTTATTTTTGAGAAAGAAAAAAATAAGAAGGGTTCTTCTCTCCAAGAAAACATTCTTGATCTGATTTTCTTTTCAAGAGCGAAAGAAATAATTTGAGGAAAAGCTGCAGCCTTTATTAAAGGTCATCCCGATGGAGTCTGTAGTGTACATTATTCGATTTTTCCTAAATGCTCTAACGGCTAAAGCACCATCATAAACGCCTGGCCTATCTACAGTTGAGTAAACGCACGTCTGTAGGTGACTTGCACTTGCAGCGTTTTTGCGCTGACAGCGTGGGAAGGCGACGCGCCACCGCAGTCGTGAACAAAACAAAATGGGGGAGGCGGCACTGGCTGGTCGTGGTCATGACGACGACGACGATGATGATGATGACGGGGTGATGATGGTGGTGGGAGACGAAGAGGATAAAAAGGCTCGAGAGGCGCCGGCTTGATGAGCCGTGGGAGGCGCTTTTTCTTCTAAATGGCTACTTCCTGTGAGCCATTCACTGCTTAACTGAGGCTCTTTGTGTGTGTGTGTGTGGGGGGGGGGGGTAAGCAGTGGAATTTTAAGTAGCCCCCCCTCCCATTGAAACTAGAGGTGTCCTATTCAGTTTAGGGACCACATTCACCCCAAATTGACCTCAAGCGGGCCCAAAGTGAATATTTGTAGCGTATGGATTTTTTTATTTTTTTTTTCTTGCCCCCTGGCGCTACATACTTGTGTGCATTTTGGTCACTATGACGACACGGTTCTCCATTTCGTTCACCTGGAGGCCGACATTTATATATATACACTGAAATAAGTCGGCGTCTTTGAGCCTGCTACGGACATACGCTAACATCAGGCGTCAAATCCTGAGGAACGGCCCATTTCACAATGTCGCTGAAGTGGTTGTCTGTGCGCCCTCCACGGGACAACAACGGGTAACTTGAATTGAAAATTGCTATTTTCATGTTATCTAGGCCCACAGGCCGGATTGGACCCACCGAGGGTCCGATTCTGCCCTGCGCACCATACGTTTGACATTCCCATTTTAACCTCTCATATGTTGTTGGTCGCATGTTGTGTGCGGATTTTCTGTGTCAATGCATATTTAGCACTTGGCTTTCGTTTGAAGAGGTGAGGTCACAAACCTCCCTCAGGACATTTTGTAGATGTGTGTCTTACTTTGTGTGTCTATGTGTGTGTGTGTGTGTGTGTGTGTGTGGGGGGGGGGGTCCCCATTCAGGGTGCAGTCGTTAATTGCAGCTAGACCGGGAGAGTGGGTGAGAATGACAAGAAGGAATTGGAGGTTGAATAGGTTGCTGGGTGAAAAGAAAAGAGCACTTTTTCTTTCCGCTTTTTTCACAGCGAGGCCTCTTTTGATTGACCCGCTAGATCTGTCTCTTAGGCTTTCATGCGTCCACCACACGCACACGCAAACACAAAACATGCACGCACACACAGTCGCAGAAAAAAATATGCCGATACTTTGGCATAACCACAACAACAAGCGCACATACAGCATCTGCCAAAATGTGTTTGAGCAACTATGGGGGAAAATGGACTTCTCTGACTGCCATTTTGTGTCAAAAAAACCATCAATGGGATTGTGCCCACCAGTTTGGTTGACACTCAAACGGTCGCATTTTCTTGCTCAGCAAAGATTGAAATGTTGGATGCTTGTATTTTTGGGTGAACTTTATATGCCTAGCAAGTAGCACACTGACCGAAGTACACGTTTACGGATATGTCCCTGAAAAATATCAAATGGAACTTCTTGGGCCAAAATGGCAGCCGACTTTGTCAATAAGCTTAGTTGAGAAGTAAATGGTTGCTCTTTCATCCCCCCCCCCCCAAAAAGGGGGGTGGGGGGTGGTAAATGACCTAGTTAGCACTCGCACTAGCACAGTTGAGTCTCAAATGTTAGCATGTTCACACACCAACAAGGGACCAAAAGGCAAACTGTCCTCTTTGTGGCAGCCATTTTGGCTCAAAGAGTGGCAGAAATACATTAAATGCAATCCGCTCTCTCGCTTGCTTTTTTCTTCCTGAAAGTGGAGATTGAGTCCAGAGGTTCTGTCAGGGCCTCAGAATAGAATCAGTGTGTATGTGTGTGTGTTCGCTGTACAATGATGGAACTGCAGAGTCAGCTTTGCGGTTGCCCAGCTGCAGAACATTACGCGGGAGTCACATGAGCCGTAATTACACACAACCTCTGTTGGCTTTGCCTTTTAATTGTCATTCATTGCCGTTTTCGGAGGGATCGGAGAGCGTTCGGGTGCCTGTCTTGTTGACTGGGTCAAAGGCAAACGCGGATCGGATGAACCGGAGGTCAGCGAACGCCTTCGGGAAAAGACCGGCGGTTGTTTGCCAGGCTCAAACTCATTGTGTAACGCCGGCGGGGTGCAAGGACGAGTCAGTGCAGTGGAAGCGATTGATCGTGTCAACGCGGCCGCGCGCGCACGTCGGGAAAGAACACAGATTGAAAGTAGATCAGTGTACGGCGGCTGACCGCTCGCTCAGTCCCCTCCTCCACTCTGCGAGCTGATGAGTAAAACACCCACACGCGCGCACTCGCATTCACGCGTGCTCACCGAGTGTGCTAATTACAAACTAATTGGTTCTCGCTTAATCTGCGGTGACGCTTAATCTCACAGCTGTCAGTTTGGATGTGCCAGTCTTTTTTTTTTTTTTTTGAAATGAAATAAATGTTTGAGGTCGCAAACACAAGTAATCAGAACATTTGTGAAATATGTCAACGAGCTTGGTTGTCTGAATTTTGCTCCAGTAAATTCCCACCGGTTTGCTCAACAGCTGTCACACAACGGAAGGGTTCGAAACTTCCCCACCGGTTTATCCAGATTACGCAATACCTTGAGAGCCATTTCCCAATTCCCACGCTAATAATTTTGTCGCGATACAGTGAAGACAATTTCACAGCAGCGTACTGTCCCCAAATGGTCGCCACTAAAATTTGAGACGGTGTGAGTAAATTTTTCATGTCATCGTGCAAGTGCAAAAAAAGAATACAAGTGATGCTCTTGAATAAGCTTTGTGCTCTTTTCCTTTGATGCTATTCGACACCAAACACGTCCCGTGTTGTGCCGTGTGTACATACGTTGAGCCGAGTGAATTCCTGGCTGGAGAAACGAGGTCATTAGGAGTCTGTTTTGGTCACCATTCAAAATGGAGTCCTGAGAACATTCCGGCTCTTTTTGCCTGCCATTGTGGAAGCGCGCCGTGCTCTCCGCGCGGTCCTGCCTCACAATGACTTTTCCGGACCGTCCCAGGGGAGCTGAGGGTGAAGCGCAGAGATGGCAGATTAGCCAGAGATGGGGGGGCGGGTTCGAGAGACAGATACGGAATGGCCAACATTTTTGCACAGTGTCTGACCGGCACTGATGAGTTCTTCTGTACAGGAAATGAACAGTGACTGTTATAAAAGAAGTAGACCCCAACGTCTGTTTTTGGGGGGGTCTCCCGCCTCCTCCGCCTACCGCCACCTGCTCCCTGGTTTAAACATGAAAGCTTTTAGCGGGTGGCGTCGCGTGTCTGGTCCCATCCCGTCATTGTGGTTTCGGCTCCCCGCATGGAGGCGTGCGTTTTTGATGACATGCTAATATGCTAGCGTCACGGAGACGCGGGCAAAACGTGTCGTCCTTGACCGCTTTTGCGTCGGCTCTTTCTGTCTCGTTGGCCACGTTTTGAAGTGGGCACACTGTCGAACATGAGTCGTTTGTCCAGTCGCCGCACATATTTGAGGTTTGGCATTCCCAAATCATTTTGGGGAGGGAACCCATATAAAATCACATATTGGGTGTTTTTGTGCAGATAATGATCTTGCTTTTTGGCTTTTGCGGCTTTTTTTTTTACATGAAACTCATTTTTTACTGTTTGCTTTTCACTATTTTCCCCATTTTGTGTTAGCCTAGGTTGACTGGAGTACCGCTGTTGCATGGTGTTCCACAAGGTTCAATTTTGGGGCCCTTGCTGCTTTGTTGGCCATGGTTCCATCTTAAGAAAGTTTTCTTAAGATGGGGTCGCACATCCAAGCATCGTGAAGATTCCTGTCATTCTTAAGCGCTCTTATAGTTGGCTTGGCTAGTATTGGTGACGTCTTTGATCTGTGGGGCGGAGCTTTAAATTGTCAGGCCATAATCTCAAAGAAAATGTGCTTGTCCGCCATCTTGTGGCATCTATGGTCCATTACAAAGATTTTAGGGTCAATTATCTGTGGCTGTTTACAACACATTTAAATCGTAGTCAGCAACTTGCGCTGGCAGCTAACATGTGTGGCCTCCATTTTGGCTGCGCCCCCCCCGACCCCTTGCATGCCTGCTTGCTTGTGTCTTCCCAGTCGGTGCTGCTGCTGGGCTCGGTGGCTCTCTTGTGTTTGGGCCTGGACCTCCTGTTTCTCCTCTTTTACTCCTTCTGGCTTTGCTGCCGCCGCCGCAAGAGCAACGAGTCGTCGGCGTCGGCGCACCACGCGCACTCCCGGCAGCCCAGCGCCGACTGCTGCTGCACCGCCTGGTGCGTCATCATCGCCACCCTGGTGTGCAGGTAAGACGTTTCGTTGATTCACATTCGTCGCACAGCAAAAGGGGGGGTGGGGGGATTGTCACTCGAAAGTGCGAATGCTGGTGTGGCTACACCAGATTGCTTGTTGATGAAATTTGATTGACAGCTGACTGGGCCCGTCTTCTTTTTGTGGCTTCCCACTTCATCCACCGCTGCCTTTTTCTCCTTCGTCAGCTGCTCGTAGGCCTCGGACGGTTGCCGTGGTGACGCAAGCAGATTGGCTGTCAAGAACGCGAGTGAATTTGACAGTCACGTGTCTGTGTGTTGGCCTGACTCGTTGAGGATGACTTGTTTTTCTTTGCAGCATTATATTTTAGTCTTGGCTAAAGTGTGTGTGTGTGTGTGTGTGTGTGTGTGTGTGTGTGTGTGTGTGTGTGTGTGTGTGTGTGTGCGCGCGCGCGTTTCCTCACATCGTGGTTGGCGGTATTTGTTTACTGCACTCGCCTGCTGAGTGTGCCAGGCATCTATTGGGGCAGGGGGACATTTATTAGGGGGGCACTACCATAACATATTGAAGACTGATATCATGTTACAGTTAAAGTGGGCTAGAGACCCCTCGTGTCCAACCCCTGTTATCCCCCCCCCCCCCCATCACGTGCATTCGGGCCACGGCGTTTTTTAATTTCGGGGATAAGGCCACTGGAGGAGGAACAATCGGTCACCGAGAATATAAATGTTTGTCACTTCCTGCCAGACCACAAGTGGACCTTTGCATGTTGTGAGGGTTGAGACGAATTGTGGCGAGGTGATGAACTGCGCGTGTGAGACCTCATTACGAAGATCATAAAAAAATAAAATAAAATCAAAACAATTTTGTCCCATCAACTACAATCGATGATCATACCCGCTTCCTTCTTTTTTTCCGTCGGCAGATGAGGATTTATATCATAGCTGCGCACCCGCGCGTTGATCATCTAGTGTGCGCGCGGGTGTGAAGAATGGAACGGCCCGCAATGAATTTCCCTCAACAGTAGTCGTAAACGTTCCTCCACGGGCAGCGGCGGCAGCCGAGTACGCGTGTGCCAATGCACGACGGGAGGCTTGGCTTGCCTGTGCTGGGGGCGGGGCTTTGGCAGGTCAAAAAGCGGAGCGTTGAGCCACCGAGTTGACAACGGAAACTTCAGTCTGTCGAATGATCCTTTTTTTGGTGTATTATGTTTGTGACTTTGGGTTTGGGTGTAAAAGTGAGGAAGCAAGTTTGGGAAAATGTGTGCGATTCGATTTGCTGAAACGCCAGCTGGGATTGTTTCGCTCCCAAAGCTGTCGACCGTGCGATCCTGCTTGCCTTCCTCGCCGCCCGTTTGTGTCCCTCCAGCGCCGGCATCGCCGTGGGCTTCTACGGGAACGGCGAATCGAGCGACGGCGCCAGTCGCCTGGCCTACTCCCTGCGCCATGCCAACCGCACCGTGTCGGGCATCGAGAAACTGGTGAGGGGGCGGACGGGCGGGCGGGCACACACACAGCAAAATCTGCCGTCGGAGCGCGATTGTTTGGCGCGTAGCACACGTCGACAATGAGCCTTGGGCGGCGACTGTCCCCGGCGCAGGTGTGGGACAACGCCTTGGCGCTGAACCAGACGGTGGAGGAGAACCTGGCCCAGCTGGAGACGACCTACCGGGAGCAGACGGACTACGTGTCCATCGTCCAGAAGCTGCAGGGACAGCTGGACGAGCTGCTCAAGCTCCTGGCGGACGTGCCCTTCTGGTCCAACACGGCCGTGTCCCTGGAGGAGCTCGCCAGCCGGACCGAGGCCTTCGACTTCTACAGGTCGCCGCCGCCGCCTCTCCTTTGGCTTCTTTCTTACGTGCGGCTAAACTTTGGATGGATCCAGTCATTTTTCCAAATGTCACACTTTGCGGCTGGTCCGTTTTTTTGTTTTGTTTTGTTTTTCACCTTTCGCCGGTTCCACCATTTTAAATTTCGAGTCGTCGCAATAAACGGGAATTTTATTTATTTTTTGCATTCTCCAAATTCCCCCCCTCCATAAAATAAATCCCATTTCAATGAATGAGACAGTTGACACAATTCACTAATTTCTCCACCATTCCGAAGCATTCCATTTTGAAGATATTTGTAAAAATCGGGACATCTTGTGACCCCCCCAAGAATCCACATTTTCTTTCTGAGACATTCAACTTGAAAACTGCCCCTCCATGTGGTAATTCTTCCCCATTTCCTCAACCGTCGGCCTTTTCTGATCAAAAGTTCTCAAACGATTCCAGCGTCAAACATTTCGCTAATTGGACGTCCTGAATTTGTGAAATACGTTTTCATCCGCGACATCATTTTCTATAAAAATGATGTCACAAATTTCACGTCTCCATCCACGCTTCTCAAATGATTCTAATTTTTAAAAAATAATCATGGTGCAATTTTGCCACAAAAAGTTTTCACGTTATTTCTTCTTTTTTCTTTTTTTTTTTTTTGCTGACAAGCTTCTGCTTTTCGCTTCAGCCCATTGAGCAGTCACAAATTAAGTGTAAGTCAATTTATTCAAAAAAATAAAATAAAGAATAATAATCTGGAGCCCCGCTTCCTTGCTTAACATTCACAGTCGGTCGTCCTTCCACATTTCTCAACACATTCAAAGCATTCCGCCTTCCAGGTGTTCATTCAGAGTACATTCCTCCGCAAATTCTCAGAGTTCTTTTTTTTTGCAGTGCGGTAGTCCACATTTTCCATCACAAAATTGGCAAACTAATTTGAAATTTCCGTTTAAATTGTTTGTTTTTGTCGAAATAGATTGTAGCGCATGAGAGTTTGGAGGATGCAATTGTTGTCGTCGTGTGCTCGCAGGTGGTTGGGCTACCTCGGCCTGCTGCTGTTTGACGTCCTCATTTGCCTCCTGGTTCTCTTCGGACTCATACGCAACTCCAGGGGAACTCTCATTGGGTACGTCACGCCGCAGTCAAAGTCCACCCACAGACATTTAAACGCGTCAACACGCACGACGCCCGCCGGCGCAGTCATCACGCGTGCGATGTCCCGTAACCGACTTTGCTGTTTGTGACCGTCGGCAGCGTGTGCCTGCTGGGCGTGCTGACGCTCGTCGTCAGCTGGGCGTCTCTGGGCCTTGAACTGGCCGTCGCTGCGGTAAGGTCGTCGCCACGGCAACGTTGCAGAGCCGCCGCTGCCCGGCTCGGCGCTGACGTCATCTCCTTTGTGTGTGTGTGTGTGTGTGTGTGTGTGTGTGTGTGTGCATGTGCACGCGCGCAGTCGGCCAGCGACTTCTGCGATTCCCCCGACGCGTACGTCGCCCGCGCCACCAAGGAGAACGCCGTCATCAATCAAGGTAGCGCCAAGCCGTCGGGCTGTGCGAGCGTCCAGTTGGCGGCTCATTCCCGCCTTCCTCTGTTTGAGGAAACATTGCGCGTGTGTGTCGGGCCACGTGTGTTTGCCGCTGGGGTTGTGCACCCTTCGGCCCCCTGGCCGCCCTGCGTGGGACAAATTTCCTTTCGTGACATCATCTGACATTTCGTCCCGATCGCTGATGCCATTGAGCTTCCGTTTGCGGTGCACCCCTTTTTTTTTTTTTATATAAAGCATGCTTCCTCGTTTCCCTCTCGACTCCTCTTGTCTTAATGAGATCTGTTGTCTCTCGCTTGTTTCCGCTCTGGCTGACTGTGCCCGGTGCAGATGTTTCCTCCGCAATGACACACACGCACACACATTAAGCACCGCACGGGTGCCTGCCCGTTGTTTTGCAAAAATCGCATGTAAATGGCATTTCCTCTTTGGAGCAAGTGAAGCGACCGACCTCCCGGTCGCCGTCATTTTACGCTTCGAAGAGGGAAACGATCGTTCCACGTGATTCACGTATGTGTCTGGTTGTTAGATATCCTGCAGTATTACCTGATGTGCAGCCCGGGACAAGTCAACCCCTTCCAGCAGGTAGCCGCGCAATTCTATGATTTGCCTCACGTAATTACACTTGGATCCGTGCGACGCCGACAATGTTTTGAAAGTAAGTGTCGATACGCTGTTGGCGGGTGACGGGGACCCGCAAAGAACCATGATGGTTGATGCCCAGTGAAATTGGGGGGAAAAAAAAAACGCCCAAAAATATTGAGAACCCCCCCGCCTGTGTGCAGAAAGTCACTGTGGCCGCCGGAATAAAGTTGGCCAATCGGTAGCGGCGGCAAAGCAAACTGAAGGTGAAGAAAGTGAAAATGGCGCCGTCACTCGCTCACCGTTTGAAGGATTTGACCACATAATGGCCACAAGAGGGCTCCAAAAACAACAGACAAGACTCGGCAGGAACCGCTTTGTCTGACCAGCAAAGCGCGCCGATGGATTCCATCGTACGATACACGTGTGATCTTGGACGTACGCTTCATCTGGAGATCTACCTTGTTGGATCGCACGGCTCCAATGACGCCAAATGGGATTTCTTAGTTTGTTGTGCAAAAAGTGAAGCTCTGCATGTGGATGCTTATTCGCGGGGCTTCATTTATGGAGGATTTTTGAGACCAAAAAAAATTAAATTCTTGGCTCTTTTAAATATGCGGTGTTGCCTGAAATGTGTGTGCGTGTGTGTGTGTGCGCGTGCAGAGGCTGTCGGGGAGCCACAAGGCGTTGGTGGAGATGCAGGACGACGTGTCCGAGCTTTTGCGATCGGCCACGCGGGAATACGCCAACACGAAGGTGCGCACGTGCACGTGTTAGCTCTCTGCGTGGCTCCAACGCACGCACGTGGGCGTGCTTAGCAAACTTCGACGACGTGCTCCCCATCTTTCCTCCCTCTTATCCAATTGCAACGGCTTTCAGAAAGAACAAAGAAAAGATGCTTTTTGTGTGTGTGTGGCAAAGATTTTTCTTTTGTTGTTGGGCGGAAAAAAACTGTCACGTGGATACCTTTCGTGAAATTCAGACTCTGCTTTGAAAATACTTTACTCCCTGTTACCTCATGAACATCTGGTTTTCGTGTTGTAAATATTTTCCTCTTGTTTGTTCTACTATTTTCAAAAAATAGAAATTACATTTTTTTTTGTCTCATACGATTCGTCTTGCCATGAAATTCTGAATTCTCGCTCCTGTAAGCCTGGAAAAAAAACTTTGTTGTTGACCTGCGTGTGTTGTTCAGGCGAGTCTGGATCAGATCCAATCGGTGCTGAACTCTACGGAGGTGGGCCTGCATCAGCTGACGGCTCTGGTGGACTGTCGCAGCCTGCACATGGTGAGCGGTCGCCGGCTCGCTTCCCGCTTGTCTATGACCCACCCGCATGTAAAAGGCCTCGTGCGGAGAAATTCAGCAGTTCAGGCTTTTTTTTTTTTAATCACTTAAATTCCTGTCAGTTGTAACGTGAAACAAAGCATCCAAAAACGACATAGCATTGGGCAAGTATGGACTCATGTTATTGGCCACGCCCACAACGATTTGCCCTCACGCCTTGAACAGAAAGCCGATGAAGAATCTCAAATTGCTTTCTGGACTGACTTTAGCGGACCAATTTGAAAGCGGCCCTCGCATCCTTTCCTTTTGTCAACTCGCACGCCCAGCTCTCGGCAGTGGCGTGCTCTTCTCACGGGCGCCCCCTACCTGTGCGTTGCAGGACTACGTGCAGGCTCTGACGGGCTTGTGCTACGACGGCGTGGAGGGCCTCATCTATCTGGTGCTCTTCTCCTTCGTCACGGCGCTCATGTTCTCCTCCATCGTCTGCAGCGTCCCGCACACCTGGCCCGGCAAGAGGTAATGCGCGCGTCGGTGCGACGAATGCGTACGCTAACGGCTAACGTGCTACTAACGAGCAATGCGGGGTTTCCTCAACTTCTCTCGGCTCAAATTTGAATAAAATACCGGGAAGGAGTGTGAAAAATGACGTCAACATAGTGCGGGATTTTTCGACCCCTAAAATGACGTGATTTTGTCCAAAGTAATTCCCCCTCCCCATCTTCTCTATTCTAGTGTGAATTTACTCCCACGACAAATCCAACTTGGTTCTTGCTACTTTTCGTAAAATTATTCGTATTTAAAAATTGACAAGAACGCCCTTGTAAAATTGTCCGAAGAGGATTGCAACTTACTTCTCAAGGAAATCAATCACACTCTTGCAAGATTCTTTTCCATTCTTCTTTCATTCACGATTATGAAGCAGCTCGGAGAATGGACGGATGAATATATATCGCGGTACATATGTCCATCAATGTGGGTAGCCGTTGCGTTTGGGAAGCCCTGCTGCGCCAAAGGGGTGGCTGGCTGTTTGGAGTCTTTGCATGCTGTCCTTGGGCGCCGTGTTTCCCTGCATCCTCCATCTTCAGCCTTGATCTTTTCTGCACCGGATTGTGTCGAATTCTCCCCCAACCCTCAGCGTGGCCCGCGTCTTCCTCCTCCTGTTGCTCTCTTCTTTCCGTCTTTTCCTTCTCCTTCCTCTCCTTCCCCACAAAAGTCGGGGCTTTGACGTGCTGCATACCGACGACGTTTTAATCAGCGCACGGCCACGCGAATGACGCGGCCGCGGGCTAGATTCCGTGTCGTTAGCAGCAATGCTAATTGAGCCACTCAGACGACAGAGTGAGCCAACTACTTTTTTTCTTCTTAATAATTATCCACGACTGAGGTACGGTTATCATCTGTGTTTCATAAGTTGGATACGAGTCAGTATCCGTTGCAAAGTTTTTTTGTTTGTTTTTCTCGTAAAAATTGCCATTCAAGGGCAGCACAAAACTGCTCATTTTCAAAATCAACTCACTCCAAATGTTTATATATATATATATATATATATGGTATCTCAGATAAACCTTCCAAATCAGCACCAACCTGACTTATCCTCCTTATAATTTGCTTCTTTTTGACCCGTTTTGTTTGGAAATGGTTGGTTTGCCACCTCCCAACTAGTCCATCTTATTATTAGTAGTACGATGATCATCATCATGATCATATTTGCTTTAAGTTGCATGGAGCAGCGGGCGCCCTGTCGAGACGGGAGGGAGGGACAAAAAGGCTGCATGTGCACCCATCGGCTGCATGTTTTCTGAGCGACAGTGTTAGCGTTGGCGTCGCGCCATTGGGCCGCTTTGGCGGGGATGTTAGCGACGAGCTAAGTCGACCTCGCCCCTCTCCTCTTCTGCTGTTTGTTTACAATCTGTTGTCTTCCCCCACCCCTCACCACCAATCCCCCCCTACCCGC